ACCCTTTGTATAACAAATACTTGGCATTTTCATAACTCAATCATATGGTATAATCGACACTTATGCTATGAAAGGAACTTAATTTGTTGTTAACATAAGTTATAATAATGAATACCTGACAACATTTATAAGTATTAACATTATTTAAATAAGATAACTAATATAATCATGTTAATAATTTATAATCTGATTGACACCTTCTTTGTGTGTGGTTTCCAGGTGAGTAATAAAAGAAGTTTATACTATACTTGTTTGAAATACCATTAGTGGATCATTTAACCTTAGCATTGGTTTTTATCATTGTTTAATCTTCACATTAATCTTACATCTCAAAGTCCTCTTATTATTGTTGTTATTGTTTTTGTTATCATCATCATTGTTGTTGTTGTTGTTGTTGTTAATTTATATAGTTAATATCTCTATGGTTCGACCTCACTCTTGTCGGGTTATTTATTATTTCAACACCTCTACTCTTAGAAGAAGACATTAATCTTTTAGTCTGTCATTAGAAGTTGCTAAAAAGTTTGAAAAGGTGTTTGTGAGGTTAGGTGAAAGTGAGCTTAGGTATATGAATTACTTTTAAAAGGTTGATTCAAAAGGGGAAAAAAAAAAACAAACATAGGCCACCTAGTTTAAAGGTCTGGAAAAATGCTAGAACTCTGGTAAAGTTCTTAAAAAAAATTTATATGGTTACATTGAAATTTTCTAACTCGTTGCATGTTACATCAAATTTATTTTTCAATGAATTAGTTTATATGCATACAAACTTGTTGTAATTGTATAAAAGTAGAGATCATATTTTAAATGGAATGGCGATGAACATGATATTAAAGTCTAAGAAGTATTGGGATTGTGAAATAAATCAGAATTTGTTATTATATGTAGCTAATGTTTTGGATCCACGTCTCAAGTTGAAATATGTGTTATATTGTTTTAATGAGTTGTATGATTATGACAATGTATAATTGCTAATAAAAAAGGTGAAAAATAATTTGGTGAGTTTATATAAGTTTTATTTAAAAGCTGATGAAGTGGTGAATGATAATGGGCATAAATAGGATGTTAATGATACTATTGATGATATGGAGTTAGATGTTAACATTTTAGCTTGATTCAAAAGGTATTTATAGGAGGAAGATAGTGTGAAAAATATAAATGAGGCTGAAAGGTATTTGGTTGATGGTTGTGAAAATCTCAATGATGATAAATTAGATATTTTGGATTGGTGGAAGAATAATGCTTAAAAATATAAGATATTTTCGAAAATTGTACAACATGTTCTAGCGGTTGTATACTCAACTAATTTTAAAGTTTTATATATCCAACAATAATTCAAGTATTTATTTGTTGTCAAAATTGATTGTATTATGAACCAATTTCAACCAATATTAGAATTTTGATAAATGATTTTGAAATCTAAAAAAATCTTAAATCAGATAAATTTTTTTATAAACTTATATATTTTATTTTATAATTTATTATAATTCTAAATTTTGAATTCCAAATTTTGACATTAATAGCATTAACTATTAAGGAATTAAAATGTAATGTTATTTATGTACTTTTTGATTGAGATAATAATTATATTTTAAAGTGTTTTTAATTTGAAATATATTAAAATAATATTTTTTTTATTTTTTAAAATTTTTTTTATATCTGTATATCAAAATGATCTAAAAATATAAAAAATATTAATTTAAAAAATATATAAAATTCTTTACAAAAATATTTTTAAAATAAAAAGTAAACCATTAAAAACCTCGGAGTTTGCGTTTTGCATTTGCTTTTCTTGGGGGCTGCTGTTAAAAATAAAAATAAAGAATGAAGGACGGTGCGTCTCATCTCTTGGTGATGCGTTTTACCTATTTACCCTTGTTCTTAAAAACCCCAGGGTAAGTTACATGGTCGAGGAAATTTCCAGCTTTTAAAAAAAAAAAACGCGTGCTGGTGTGGATTTAACCTCTATTGTTACAACTATTCATGGCATACTATTATATATAAAACTGTTTTCCTCCCGACAAAATTGCATGAATTATTAAGCCTGCACCGAACTAAATTTCTGGGGGGTCTGACAGTAAGGGCCCATATGTTGCATAAAGTTCCTCGGTCTGCAGCAAAGATTAAAGTCTTTGGATTGAGTGCAGGTCTGCCCTTAAAACCTTTTTTTTTTTTTTCAGTACATTGTATATAAATATTCTGGGTAACAGTAATATTATTTACAATTAAAAATAAATTAATAAATTAAAAAAGGAAAATTTACTGTGCTGCTCTTCCTAAAGGACATTATTCATTGAAATAATATTGCTGTATATTTATTTTTGAAATAATTATCTCAGGCTCGTTATTTAATATAACATGATTTATGATAAGATTTTGATAGGTTAACTCAATTAATTTGAATTTTTTAAATTAATGTTTTATTTTATTTTATAATATTGAATTGATTAAGAATTAAATTTTGTAATTTATTTTATTTTCTTTATATAAGTTTATTCTCATCTTATGACTTAGATCATGAGTATGGCAACCTTGGCTTGAGTTATTTTTTATTTTTTTTAATTAATTTTTTTTAATTTTATGTTTAAATAATGAGTTGATTAGAAATTAAACTTTATAATTTTTTTATTGAATTATCTCAATCTCATGACCCGGGCTACATGTATGGCAGGTTAATCTAAGTTGATTTAGGTTATTTTTTATTTTATTTTTTAATTAATTTTTTTAATTTCATCCTTCAACATTGTGTTTATTAGAAATTAAGTTTTATAATTTGTTTTAATGTATTTTCTATAATATTATTATGGTCTTATGACTTGATATATGGATTGAAAAATTAATTCGGATTGACTCGAATCGATCTAATATGTTGTTGTCTTAACATTCTTTAAAAAAAATCACCTTAAATATTATTTTGAGTCAAATTACGTTTTCACCAATCATTTTGGTTATCTTTGAACCTACAAGATAATCAGGTCTCATGACTTGGTATGTAAATTAACAGATTACCCAAATTAATATGAATTCATTCAATATTTTATCATCTTAATATTTATAAAATAAATTTCATCATACATATTTATTTTTATATCAAACTACTGGCCATCCAAGTTAAAAAAAAAATAATCACAATGGAACACATACGAATAATCTAGTTTAAATCTTGATTCGATCTACAATGGAACACATACGAATAATCTAGTTTATATAATAATAAGACATTGTGATTTTTGTATGCATTTGAGAACATGGTTAAAATCATGTTTTTTTTTAATTTTAAATTATTTTTTTGTATAATTAATTTTTTATTTTTTTATTTTTTTAATATATTAATATTAAAAATAATTTTTTAAAATAAAACATATTTTAAATAATAGCTATTTACCCAAATCGATCCTTTATTTTTTTTTTTTTAAATTTTAAAAAAAAAAACCTTAAATGTTATGCAAGATGATCGAGCCTCATAACTTGGTATGCAAATTAAAAGGTTATCAAGTTAATCTGAATTGATTTAATATTTAATTATTTTAATATTTATAAAATAAATTTATTTGATATATTTATTTTCATGTCAAACTATCGGTCATCTAATTTAAAATAACAAAAACAAAATCTTCATTCAATCAATAATATAACAGATACAAATGATTTAGTTTACACAATGAGACGTCGTGATTTTTGTGTGTATTTATAAACGTGGTTGAAAACGTGTTTTTTAAAAGATTTAAATTATTTTTATTCATAATTAATTTTTTTATGTTTTTAAATATTTTTAATATATTAATATTAAAAATAATTTAAATAAATTATATTTTAATATATTTCTAAACATACCCAACAAACCAAAAAAATAGCATGTGAATAATAAACCCTCCTCTGTACAGGCGGCCAACCATGCATGCCACTTTGCTATTCCCTTGAGAAAGTGACGGACCACTTCGCTCTTCACGGGTGGTCGATGTCCCGGCAATAGGTCAGGTGAGTAAAGCAGCAGCCTATCCATCCTCTTGACACAGTACGAGTAGAAAGCACAGTGAGATATTTAATGATAAAACAAGGTACAAGCCGTTCTCATTCCACAGTTGTACTTCTAAGATATTGATGGACCATTCTACACTGAGTTTCCTCGAAAATTGTTAACTAATAAATAAAAATAAAAATATGATTTTTATTTTTAATATAATAAATTAAATGACATTTAAAGTTTTAAACTAATAGATCATCCAAACAGTCAACAGAATTGTAAATGATAATTAAAGAATAAAACGAAAGGTACAAGAAAAAAAAAAGGTTTTTTTAATGAAAACTTGTCTTTTTTGCTTTTTTGTTATGGCAGAAATATGGTTGGTTGAAATCTCTCTTCTTACCTTTTCAAGCTCAATATCTATGGACCTAAACGTGAGAAGATAAAGTTTTATGACTAAAATGTGAGGATCTATGCCTATAAGGACTAATATGCAAATAAACCTACAATTACCAAATTGAGCTTTTACAAAACCTTCAAGTACTAATTGAGCTCCTCAAACATCCAAGGATTAAAACGTTAAAAAAAACCTTAGGGACTTGATTGAATTTTTCTAAAAACTTTAAAAACCAAATTAAACTTCTTGCAATATTCAAGAAGTGAGATTTGAGAAAAAAAAAATAAAGTTTTATGATTACTAACTAAGACTACAAGGATCAAATTTTCAAAAATATAAAACTACATGAATCAAAACTTAGTTGTGCATCCATGAAGAGGTGGGCGAAGAGGAAAATACCCATAATTTGTATTTGTATTTTAAAAATATTTTTTTAAAAAAATAAATTTTATTTTTTATTTAAAATTAATATATTTTAGTATTTTTAAATTATTTTAATACATTATTGTTAAAAATTATTTTTAAAAATTACTTTCGAATAAAAAACAACCAAATCACCGAGAAGAGAAAGGCTGCCTCCATTCTTTAGTCCGTACCAGCTATTATATTCCATTATTGCTGCTTAATTTGTATCTGTTTCGAAAAAGTTCCCTTTTACTTGTTTTGCTTTGCTCCTTTTCTCCATATTTTATTTATATTTAGCGCTAAAACAGAACTGTTTGTGGACTCATAAGTACATTCATGCCTTAGAAACGACAGTTAATCAACAACCAGTTTCTCAAGTGCCACGAGTAAATTGTACAGAAGGAATCACCATGACATGCTACCAGATCGGAAAACATGAGGTATTCATGAGAACGGCTATAATTGCAACTTAATCGAACAATCGGCACTGTTCAGAAAATGCATGCGCAGCCAACGGAAGTCAGCAAGGCGGTCAGCAGTACAGAGACAAGGTTCACAGCATTGTTGTCGAGAATGTCGAGTCCTGAAATTTTCCTCACTGTTGGTCCAGGTTTTCCAACAACCTGCTTAAGACAGTCAAATGTTATCCTTCATTTAAATGCACATGGTTATGGCATCACCATGCCAGCACCAGAGGCGCTCGATGATAAATAGTAGAAGGAGCAGCTTACTTTGTTCCGAACAGTGCAGAATCCACTGAATTGCAAAGTAGCTCCCAACAGAGAATCTATCAGACTCCCACATAACCCTGCCAGTGCAGCAACGGGTATAACTACGAGCTGCTTGAGTGCTACATCAAACACACATTTCGTTGTGAAAAACCCTATGAGCACGAATGCAAGCCCAATAATACCTCCTGCTGCTGCAGCTGCTAGAAGACCTGCTAACGTGACACCACCATTTGTACCCCTCCGAACAGGCTGGTGATCAATTATATAGGAAACTAGTCAGGATACAGTCTCCAAGATTTACAAATTCAATTCCATCAGTCTGCATATCATATGATTTTCAGTAAGAACTTTCAGTTCTTCATCCATAGCCTTTTGCCAACATGGGCGTCCTACTAATTTCTAATCGACAAACATGTTTAAAGCCTGCTGCAAGAAGTGTGCTTCTAAATTTCGCAAACCATGCACGTGGGACTTGTTTGAGACCATCAAGTGAAATTTCTAATCGACAAACATGTTTGGAGCTAGCCAACGAATATCCTGGAGGTGGGGTCATTAAAATAATTTCATCTATGTCAACACAAAAAAAAAAAAAAAATCATTCTTAACATTCATTTGGGATAAGCTACAGTTATGAGAACCAACGATAGCTAAGAATGTACGCACAATAGTCATTTTGACAGCTGGAGCAAATGTCTCTTTATAGTCCATATTCTTGAAGATACCAAGAGCCATTAAACAAAGTTTTGCACCTGTCCTAAGAACCATTAGGTTTAACACTATACACCCACTTGCCCTCAATAGGTTTAACATTAGTAGGACATGACATAAGATCCCAAGTATGATTTTCAGTAGTAACTTTCAGTTCTTTATCCATAGCCTTCTGCCAACATTGGTGTCCTACTAATTGCTTAAAAGAATTAGGGACATGGAAAATACTTAAAAAGAAAAGGAAAGAAGAGGGAGGATACCCATACTGATCTGGAGGATGTGTCTGATGAGAGGAAAATGACAAACATGAACTAGACTAGGAGATTAAGAGGGTTCTTTAGGAGAAGTGCGACCAATGCTAGACTATCATTGTTGATAAACAAAAATAGGTTTAGAACATTCAAGAATAGCCTTGAGTGATTCAAATGAAGGTAGAATAGAGTAGGATGTCGAAGAGGAGGAAGAGAAGGAGAATGATGTTGATAGAAAACACATTCTTTTTAATCATAACATTACAAGAAACAGGCATTTTTCTTTTTGTCAAGATCATAACACAAGAAACACTTTTGACTTAAGGCATATCGTAGGAAAACACTTTGTGCTGTTTAAGGAGAAAACTTGGTTCGTTCATGAGGAGAAAGATGAACATAACAAACACACCCAAATGTATGCAGTAAAACATAATCTGAAGATTTTCCATATAATTTTAAAAATGAAGATGTATTGCCCGAGGTTATGGAATTTAGAAGATTAATAAGATATACAATAGTTTGTAAAGTCTCAATCCAAAAAGAACAAATAAGTCAATTAACATGCATGATCAATTTCTAAAATCTAATGTTTTTTTTCAACAAGACCATTTTATTAGGAATTGTAAGGACAAGATTTTCATGAAATATTTTATCACGAAGAAGTTTTTGAAAATCAGTAGACATGTATTCTCCCCCTGAATCAGAACGTGATGTTTTTATAGTTTTTGAGAAATGAGTGGTAATAAGATTAACAAATTGCTAAAAGACATCAATTACTCCAGATTTATAATGCAAGAAATAAAACCAAGTCGTATATAATGCTCAATGAAAGTAACAAAATACTTATTGCACCAGCATGGGAAAAACAAGGCACCATACCCCAAACATCATAATGCACTAACTCAATAAAGCACTTGTTCCAGTCATATGAGTGGGGAATGGAAAAGTCTTGATCTTACTCAATGCAAAACTAGAAAAAGAAATTCGCACATCCTTTTTAGAAATATGAACTTTATTAAGAATCATTTTGAATTGAGCATGTATAACAATCTTATTAAAGGAATATGTTCTCGATGATAGTGCCGCAAGGCAAATAGATCATTTTATTCAAGCTAGATAAAATAGAAGCAAACACATTTAGTAAACTTTGGGGTTGCAGAATCAGACAAAACAATCTTCCAATTTTATGCCCCTTCTTGATTACCCTCTTCATGTCCAGATCCAGAACAACACAACCAAAAGGAGAAAAAACAAGACAATTATCTTCCACAGGTTGACGAACAGAAATCAAATTGTCAATTTAATACGGGACAAGGAAAGCATTATCAGATGTAAAGCAATCAGTATGAATAATCCCACTTCCAGACATAGACTATCCTCAAATAGTATGAATTTGATTAGGACCGTGGTTGGGAAAAAAGTTTGGCAAGATTTTGTGAGGACCAAGTCATATGATTTGAAACAATGAAGTCTGATTACCATGTAGGTTTTTTTAAACTAAGAAATTCAGTGCAGAAAATGCAGATTGAATCATTTGTAGGACCATATCAAGAGTAACAGGGACAGAACCTCTGGCATTAGAAGAAACGGTTGAAGAAACAGAAGACCTTAGTGCTAAGAATCCACATGGAAGGCTTGATTTTTGTGATTTTGTAGCCGATGTGTACAACCCCCAATCATACGCCCAGTCTTCTTACAATAATGACAAAGTGCCCTTAGTGTTTGCATCAAAAACACTCAAAGTGCCTATGGTCTGTGCATGAGAAACACTGGATCATGCTCATAACACGAAACTTTGATTTGCGTTCTGTTGGAAAAGCCACCTTAGATGGCCCAATGTTTTGTTGTCACGCTTCCATTGTGCTCAATAACTTGAGCCATTGTTCTTCTTCAATAATTCTTGGAGTCATGGCACAAAGAGGCTCAAACTCATTTCTAAGTTTCATGAGAAATTGATGTTGTTTAGGTTTCTTATAAATATTTTGTATTACAGAGAGGTGCACAGAGATGCATATTCAATCCAAAGAGATATAAAACCAGAACAATAGTCTTGAACAGTCTTATCACCCCATGCATATTCTCGAACATCATGTTCTATTTGAAATTCTCTTGCATCATCTTCCAGATGATAGACCCCTTTTAGATAGTTCCACATGTCAGAAGCAATATCATATTATCTTCCAGATGATGGACCCCTTTTAGATAGTTCCACATGTCAGGAGCAATATAATAGGATCGCAGATTCTATGTTATATGTGATTCAACTTGACCCAAAATCCAACTGATAACTTGAGCATTGTTTAGAATCCATGGAGCTTGATCTATGAGATCAATTGGTTTTGTTTCAGTTTCTCAATACAACCCCAAAATTCTTTTCTTATGTAAATGAAATACCATTGAAAATAATTACTCCCATAAAAACAAACCGATATAATTTCCTTTTTTCCCGACATATTTCCAGTAAAAAAACTGTCAAAGGAGAAATAATACCAGATAACAGAAAGAGAAATCAATTTTGATGAAGAGTCAATTGGGCCATTAACACAGAGAATTGGCTGAACTATAGAGAAATTCTCTTGACATCCTGGCCAACAGACAAGAAGCAACCAATACTGCAAAGACAACAAGGTGAAAAAAAATTCTAAACCCCCCTAGGCTATGATACCATGATAATTTGAAAGAAATGAAAATATTTTCTTTCTACCAAGTTGTTGTTTGTCATGTGCATAGGTCCATATTTATAGTTATAAAAGAGTCAATCAAATCCCTTAATTGACTAACCAATTCGTTAGTTTATGCTAGCTAATTAAGTCCAGGACTGCATACCTATTACAAATCACAATCCCTAATTTACAGCACAAATCTCATCAAATCTGTTGATACTGATTATTTTTGCTTATGTTTACACTACGTGCCTGAATAAGATTGTGTTGTTTGCATTCAGTTGCCATCGTTATCATTGCATTTACAAACAATCTGTTAGTAAGCTTGTTTCTCTTCTATTCTGATTCCTTGTTTTTTATCATAAGTTACTGGATTTCAGTTTAAGCGGTGTGCCTTAACCATCTTTGATTTAAATTTAGCTTATTCATCAATCTTGCAGTCCTATACATTTTTACACTGTATATTCATATCTCATTGCTTTTGATCCTACCAGTATCCATACAAACATTCTCATTGTCTCATTATTCTAGAGTCATGAAAGAGCATTAGCTTTACTAGTGGTGATTGCGCACGCATATATGCGAGGTGACTTGCATCATTCTTGAAGCTTTTACTATTTCATAGGGAAGAGAGCTAAGGGCTGCTGCTGCTAGGCAGGCTCTTAGTAGCTGTTACTTGCTTATAGTCACCACTATAGCTTAGGAGTTAGAAGTAGCTTAAGTGAAAGCAAGTGAGAAACTAAATCTACATGACGAAAACCCATGGTAGTATAACAAGAAAACACTCTGTATCTGTAACCACCCCTCACCCTCACTCTCTGTTTAATCCATTTTGTCGAATCTTCCTATTGAGTAGTGATTTTTTATCTAATTACCAGAAAATAGTGTGTGTGTGTGTGTGTGTGAACAAAAGAAGATATCGATCCACCTTAAAGGTTGTGATCAAACGAGGTTGCGCATCGCTGAGTACACCAAGCTCGGAAGACCAAGTGTCTCCATTGCAGCATGAATAGTGACCGATGATCCCTCCAATAAGAGAGGTGACGACGGCCGATTCTTTTCCATCCAAGCACTTGTCCTCCCAGCCGGCCAATCTCCAAACAGCCAGAACCAAAACAGAAGCTATACCACTATTAGACAGCACTTGTATCCTAAAAATTACCCACAAAAAACAATTAATTATATTTACGGAAGCCAAAAAAATAAAAACAAATAGATAAACAGATACCAGTTTCTTTGTCCACCCTCCTTGAACTCGGCGTCAAAGCGTCTCTTCTTCTCTTCTCCAACCTTGGTAAGCTTGGATGAAATTAAAAAGAAGACAAGCAATATAGCTCCAAATCTGTAACTAATAGCAAAGTGAAGGGTCATAACAATGAACCCAGCAACTGCTCCTGTTACGTCTAGAGATTTTCTTCTGTAAGCTTTAATCGCGATTACAGAAGAGATTAGCACCGCTACTGACGGTTGGATGACGATATTATCCATTTCAGTTTGAGATGGGATGGCTTCCTTTTTTTTTTCTTTTTCTTTATTTTGAGAGAGGGAGGATGGCTGGAGGGGTCACTGTATCAGATGGATGTGACACCATGGTTTGCCGGGGTTGACCGGCAAAGTAGATACGAATCGGGTTAAATCATAAAAAAATTAAAAAATATTTAATATTTTAATATTTTATATAAAAAAATTTAAAAAACAAACTATATAAATATAAATTATACATATTATAAATAACTATACTTGGTTTCATTGAATCGTCTAAATCACCGAATGACTTGATAAATTGACTGAGTTTAACTATTTTTTAGTTTTTATTAATTTTTTATCTTACTTGAATGAGTTTAGCCACTGAATCGATCAAGATCAAGTTTCAAGCCGATTTGTTAGATTGATCCACGTTTAATAATTATGTGCAACACTATTATCCCAAAAACAATTTTTGGTAAGTAACAATATATTTTTACATTTTAAAAAGATTTAAAAAATTCTAAAAATTTTATTTTTTTATTTTAAATTATTTATTTTTGTGTTTCTAACTATTTTGATTTTAATATACTAATATTAAAAATTATTTAAATTTTTTTATTTTAATTCATTTATAAACAAAATACATTTAAAAACAATCATTATTACACTCTCGAACACCACCATAATTAAATCGTGTTTTTAAACAAAATTTAAAGCAAAAAAATGTGTTGACTTTGTAAATATATTTTATAATATGAGAAAATTATTAAAAATATAACTTTAATATGTATATTTAATAAAAATAAATAAAAATTATATATATATATATATCAATAAATTTTAAAAAATATTGTTAATATTAAGTTATAATCTAGAGAGATATTTGGATGATTTCAAACAATAATTAAAGAGTATCTCTTTAATTAAAATTCTTTTATTGTATTACCTTGCTCCTTTTTTTTCTTTTTAATAATATACTTGTATATTGTTGTATAAGATTTTTTGGTAGTGTTATTAAATCTTATTCTTGTCAATTGGTAAACTTATATACCCTTAATCTAACTTGAATTTCAAATTAAATTATATAAAAATTAATTAAATATAATCAAATCAACTTATTAGGTTTAAATGCAACTTAATCAAAATTAAATTTGATTTTAAATCAAGACAATATAATTTTTTTTAATATTAAAATAATAATGCTTTGAATTAATTTAGATCAATCATCAAACCAATGTACTAGATCATGGACCCAATTAAATCCTATGACTTTTTTTTTAATTTTTTTTTTAATTTAATTATACATTTTTTTAATATTAAAATAATAATACTTTAAATTAATTTAGATCAATCATCAAACCAGTGTACTAGATCATGGACCCAATTAAATTCTATAATTTTTTTTTAAATTTATTTTTAATTTAATTATACAATAATAAAAATAAAAATTAGAAGGAAATCCACCAAATAACTTTTTTTAATATATCATGGCTGTAAAAAAATAAAGATTGTTGATATTATAACAAATATAATCTTGTTTAAAATGAAGTAAAAGTTGAGTGGTATTTATCAAAATATATCCCAAAATCATTTTAAATTAATTAATTTTAATGAATTAAAATTAAAATTGAAAAAGAAAAAACATAAAAGCCAACAAAAAAACAAACAAACAAGGCATCAAGACTTGTGTGAATTAGTGCACCTGATCTATTAAAAAGAATGCAAGATAACCTGACGTAATTAACCTTTTTTAATTTTTTTTCCCAACCACCGAAGGTGATTGAGAAGTCGGGCCTAAATCCCTAGACTTCAAAAATCTTGTTCAATCTTTTTTTATTATTATTATTATTATGAAGATACCTAAAAATATCTCAATAAGCCTATAACTTAACCTCAAATTATTAAAAGAACTAAAAATCATATCAAGTTAAAATATAAATGCATTTTTTTTAAAGATTAAAAATACCTAAATAAATTTTTTTTTATTAAATGAAATCAATTGGTATCAAGATTAGCTTTTATGGTTGTTGGGATATAAACAACTAGCAACTATCTCTTCTCCTCCATTTTCCACTAATTTTTTCTTCTCATAAAATCATATTAAATTAAAATATAAATGCATTTTTTTATAAAATTAAAATACCTAAATAAAATTTCTCTCATTAAATGAACTCAATTGATATTAAGAACGGCTTTTATGGTTGTTGGGAGATGGACAACGAGCAACCCTGTCTGTTCTTCTCCATTTTCCACTAATTCTTTCTCCTCATAAAATTTAGGGACTAAAACACCAAACACAAAAAATGTAGAACTAAAACATCAAAACCTCAATAAATATAGATAAAAAATGAAAAATGACAAAACTTTGAGGACCAAAATTTTTAAAAATATCTTATGAATAGTTAGAAAAAGGGGGGGGGGGATACTGTATTTTTGTTCTAGTATCAAATTTAGGCCTTGATGTTCCAATTTAACTTTAGCAATAAAATTAAATTCTATATTACTGAAGTGAGCATTAGTTTAAGGTTGGACATTTTTTCAACCCAACAAGAAACTATATCAGGCTAATTGAAACAAATTAAAAATCTTGAATCTCAATCAATACAATGTATAAATATAAAATTAAAAGAAAAAAATAGTTTAGTGATTGAAATAGAAAATGCTTCAAGAACAACAAAAAACATTGTTTAAATCCACAATATTTTCTCTCTTAAGCTACAATGTTTTTGCTAGTCAATTGAATTATTATTTTTATATATAATTTTAATGTAATGTAATGTAAATATTACTCTCTGCTACTATTATAATATTATATATTATTATAGATTTGGGTTTCTGTTAACGGCAATTATAATGTAATGTAAATATTACGCACTGATTCTATTGTAATATTATATGTTATTATGGTTTGATAGTTTTTGAATTTGATTAAATCTTCAATTTCTTATTTTTTATGGGCTAAATTATGGGGTTTGATAAACCTAACACATTTAACCATGCAGAAAATAATTAGTGTATTTTTATTCATTACGAGCTTCTTGGGTCTGAACGAACATGTCAGTGTCGTTGTTCTCCGAATGGCTACAAGAATCACATACTATTATTGCACATTTTATAATCCTAAAACTTTGATGGCATCCTAGAAAGAACAAAAGAAGAAAAACAATGGATGGGAATGTTCCTTTTTTTTTTTTTTTGTGTGCCATACAAATACATAGTATTTCTTTACGTGCCAAACTTTTTTTTTTTCACAAAAAATATATTGAGACATTGCAAGCTTGATTTTTTTTAAAATAAAAATATGTGAATTGGATTATAAATTTGATTAAATTAAATAAATTGATTTTATTTTATTTAGATTAAAAAAACAATAGATGGATTCAATTTTTTTTTTAAAAAAATGAATAAGATAACTTGGAGAAAAGATATTTAATAATTAAATAAATTATGTATCTCAATTCACAACCTATTAAATATATGAAAGAACAAAATAAGATAAAAATAAACATAAAAAATTGGTTTCGATTAACTTGAGTTTCCATGACAAATCTATAATTAGGATAATCAAAGTTGAGCCAACCCGAGATATTCCACTAACATTGTGATTTAAATCATAAAATTGAAATAACTTTGATAAAAAAATAGAAAGGATTATAAAGTTTTTTTTAAAAAAATTTATGTTAATTTTTCAAACATATGATTTGAGTTATTAAATTCGAAGCATCATATTTAGAAAAATTACAAAGTCCATATCTCAACCAATCAAATATAAAAAAAATAAAAAAAAAGTAATCAAAGTTAACCCAACCCGAGATATTCCACTAACATTGTAGTCTAGATCATAAGATTGAAATAACTTTGATAAAAAAATAAAAAGAATTATAAAGTTTTTTAAAAAAAATTATTAATTTTTTAAACTTATGATTTGGGTTATTAGATTCAAAGCACCATATTTAGAAAAAAATAAAATGGATGGGAATGTTCCTTTTTTTTTTTTTTTTACCCAACAAAAAAAAAATATACAAGAAGATTAAAAAAGTAGAAATAAAAAATTGAGGATTAAAATTAAAACAAAAATTGATATTTGATTTAAGGTTAAAATTGAAAAGAAAAGTTTATATAGTAAGTAGACCTAAAAAAATAAAAGGAATAAGAATTAAAATTGACATAAAAAAATAAAATAATGTTTTAATTAAAGGGTGAAATTGAAAAGAATCAAAATAGTTAAGAACAAAAATTAAAAATCAAAATAATAAATAAAATAATGTTTTAATTAAAGGGTGAAATTGAAAAGAATAACAATTTACAAAATAGTTAAGAACAAAAATTAAAAATCAAAATAATAAAAATTAAATTGAAAAATATAATACCATCAATTTAAATTGAAGGATGAATTACAAATAGAACTTCTATAAAAGAATTAAGATAAAAAAATTAAAAATTAAAAAAATTAAAATTAAAATTAAAATAACAACAAAATTTCAAGAATAATCAAAGTTAAGTCAACCCGAGATATTCCACTAACATTGTGGTCTAGATCATAAGATTAAAATAACTTTGATAAAAAAATAAAAAGGATTATAAAGTTTTTTTTTAAAAAATTATTAATTTTTCAAACCTATGATTTAGGTTATTAGATTCGAAGCACCATATTTAGAAAAATTACAAAGTTCATAGCTCAGCCAATCAAATATAAAACAAAATTGAAAAAAAAATTATACAAAAAGATTAAAAAAGTAGAAATTAAAAAATTAAGGATTAAAATTAAAAAAAAAATTTGATATTTGATTTAAGGTTAAAATTGAAAAGAAAAGTTTATATAGTAAATAGACCTAAAAAAAATAAAAGGAATAAGAATTAAAATTGACATAAAAAATAAAAATAATGTTTTGATTAAAGGGTGAAATTGAAAAAAATAATAATTTACAAAATAGTTAAGAACAAAAATTAAAAATCAAAATAATAAAAATTAAATTGAAAAATATAATACCATCAATTTAAATTGAAGGATGAATTACAAATAGAACTTCTATAAAAGAATTAAGATAAAAATTAAAAATTAAAAAAATTAAAATTAAAATTAAAATAACAACAAAATTTCAAGAAAAGAAAAGGAAAAAAAAAATATCACTATTAATCGAACCACCTTTAACAACATGTATGACATTAACTGAAAGAGATATAATGACGCTTCTAATTTTTTTAAAAAATTATTAATTTTTCAAACCTATGATTTAGGTTATTAGATTCGAAGCACCATATTTAGAAAAATTACAAAGTTCATAGCTCAGCCAATCAAATATAAAACAAAATTGAAAAAAAAATTATACAAAAAGATTAAAAAAGTAGAAATTAAAAAATTAAGGATTAAAATTAAAAAAAAAATTTGATATTTGATTTAAGGTTAAAATTGAAAAGAAAAGTTTATATAGTAAATAGACCTAAAAAAAATAAAAGGAATAAGAATTAAAATTGACATAAAAAATAAAAATAATGTTTTGATTAAAGGGTGAAATTGAAAAAAATAATAATTTACAAAATAGTTAAGAACAAAAATTAAAAATCAAAATAATAAAAATTAAATTGAAAAATATAATACCATCAATTTAAATTGAAGGATGAATTACAAATAGAACTTCTATAAAAGAATTAAGATAAAAATTAAAAATTAAAAAAATTAAAATTAAAATTAAAATAACAACAAAATTTCAAGAAAAAAAAGAAAAAAAAATATATCACTAAATCGGACCACCTTTAACAACATGTATGACATTAACTGAAGGAGATATAATGACGCTTCTAATAATACGGTGAGAGAATATTTTTTGACACTAGAAAGTGTCGCATTCAAGCACCCAAATTACACTAGCATCTCCCACACAAGGCTGGCTCTGGGTGTTGTACACGCACCTATTCTTTTTATTTTTTTTATTTAGCCAAATAATAATTTGCTCATAATCTAACATGGTAATAATAATAATAATAAAAACCTTTGGGAAAAGATTAAAAAATCCTCCTGACTTCAATTTGAATTTTTTGACTTCCATTAACATTTAGATCATTTCATAATGCTTTTAATTTTTTTTTTTGTATTTTTATACTTGATAAAAAATAAAATTACCCTTCATAATACATGATAATATTGAAAACAACATTTCAAAAGTACCAAATTGCCCCTTGATGATATGATTGAAATTTTTGCTAATAATTACCCCTAAATAATTTAAAAATAACTAATACGTTCCATGAAAAGAATTTAACACTTCCAATGACTGGTTATAAATCTTGACATTATTAAACTATTCCAATGAGTGCAATTACTATAATTTTCCCACCGGTTTTAGCTTGGTTAATATCTTAGATCAAGTTGGTTAATTGAGTTTAGTCTTGTTTTATTAGGCCCATCAAATAACATAATATCACTAGATATTATAAAAATATTTACTAATAAATAATTCAGAATAATCTATTGGATATTATAAAAATACTATAAATAATTAAACAATACACAGGCGAAGGTATATGTGAATGTGTTTTATGGCTCCTGCAAACGGATAATATTTATCAAAATTCTTAAGCCTATCCTTTAAAAATAGAACATGCGAAGGGTACACAATGGATCGTATGAAACATAGAGATAAAACATAAACAAAAATCTCTATCTTGGAAAACCAAAACTTCCAATATATCTTTTTCTAAAAAATATTCAGGACGACCCTCTCCCTTACAGACTCTTCACACAGTGAGATAGAGGAATTTTAGCTGCGACAAACTATTTACCATTATCTACATGCACGGTGATCATCATATAATCTATATATAGTGATAGTCACCATCAATATTATGTTAAAAGTTTTTAAGAGAGTGTGTGTGTGTGTGTCAAATGAGAGTGTAGCATTTTCATCTATTCAGATTATGCTTTTGATAAAATTATACGATAATTTATAAATTATCATTTTAGGAGTTCTCAGGATTGGTATATATGAGCCTTTTTACTATTCAAAATTGAATCAAGTCACGAAAACATAGTAAAACATATTAAATATATAGTTGCAAAGATGGCAAGGCAACTATTATGAATGAAAAAAACCACAGCAATTCAACGAAAAAAGGATGTTGATGAATTTTGTGTGATACTAATTAAAGAAAGCACCAAAATATGGATATATGTAAGATGAAAGCAAACATGTACCAATTATAGAAAGGATGCTAGATCACATTGTCTAGGGAAATCATCTTACTCACTCTGGTATATTCTTTTCAAGTTATCAACATCGGCCAGCTATGGCACAAGGTTAAAAACCCTGCGTAAGTTTTGCAAGCTCCAAGCTCCAAAATCGTAAACAAACATAGTAAGTTTCCACTGAATTTAATTATATCTTCTCCACCTCCCCCTTCCCCTCCCTCCCCCCCTCCCTCTTCCTCCACGTTCCATTTCTTGAACCTTATTGCCATCTCTTTCATAACTAAACATGCTCATTCTAATGTCATCCACCACATTGTTATGAGTTCTCCTATGTACCTGTAACAACAATGAATTGAATGATTTGAGGACCAAAACAATACAGCAACAGTAATACTGAAAACAAATAAAAAATGAAAGGATGTTAACATGAAAATCTTCCACATCAAGTTGGTCTTGAAGCTTTGATGCAAGATCCTTGTCACAACTAGTATCCGGAAAATCATCTTTTGTCAGATGCTTTGACCCTGCATTACTCTTTTCCCACTCCTCTAGAGTGAAAACTTGTGATTCTTCTTGCTTATTCTTCCTCCTATATTTCTGACCTTTTGAATGCCGATCACCTTGATTTGGGTGGTGATTCATTTTCAAAAGTAACTTTTGAGAAGCTGCTTGATTTTGAACAGGGACTGTTTCAATTACTGCCAAGAATTTAGATGTTAAAAGTTACGACGGCAAGATAAAGAAACAAAGGAAATTCAAAAATAAGCAATTCAGAAGTGCTGTATCATATCTCATTCTATAAATCATGATGAATCTATCTCACCCTTCTTCTTTTTTCAACTTACAATCATTCAATTTTAAATGATTATCTAGATAGTACCTCCTTCACTGTAGGCTTCAAAACATTATCCCCCATGTTTCACGAACACAAAAGTGAGGATTCCAGTACTTCTCTTTCTTACTAGAAAAATAAAAATTCACCCATCTAGGCCATTACAAAACAGCATGAATACAGTTGCAAATGCAATAAAATTGAACTCGCACCTTCCTTCTGTCTTGCAGAGGAGTCATTTGGCTTTTGTTCAAGACTTTCATTAAGGGAAACTGTTTTATCCTTATCATCATCTACTTTCTGCTCTGAATCCATTAGCCTTAGTTCAGCATTTCCAGAAGATTTTGCAACAGTAGGCACATTGCTCTTGGAGGTAGACCCATGGTAATCTACCAATAATTCCAAATAGTTCATTAGTGATTGAAATTGCAATATACAATCTATAACAGATCACAACTCTTTCCCTCTCCCTCTCTCTCTCTCTCTCTTTATTAACTACCCTTCATGTATTTTGCAAATAAAAACCATGCAATTTCATCCAAGTAGTGTCTATGCCTGCATGCTAAATGAAACAGATTCGGCCACCTCTCTTGCATTGTAATTATCAAGAGATAATCCCGCAGTGTCCAATGATACAAAAATAAAGGTTCTAGTTCTCTATCATTCCAAAACAAAATTGCATCATACAATATCTGGTGCACCTTAACATTTATTGCACAATATAGTAAACTTGCAAAGAAAAGGGAAATAAACAAGCACCTTCCTTTGATCTCCACTGAACGTTTCTAGGATTTTCTTTGTAACTTGTTCTGAGGGAAGCTACTCTCACTTTGTCATCAACACCATCTGCTTTTCTTTGAGCATCAAGAGGTAGAACTTTGGTGTTTCCAGCAGTTTCTGTGCTAATTTGCATGGTGCTGTTGGAGGTAGACTTAAAGTAATCTGGAATACTTGCCTTCTCTTCATAAGAAACTGGAAAGCAACAAAAACTATCAAATATAGAATCAAACAGGTCAGTACAAAGTGCTTGTCCTACTCACATAAGATCTGTAGATTGACCATCTAGATACAGTACTAACCTTTAGTATCCAAGCAGAAGATCTACTTTCAAGACTAAAACCCATGCACTTGCACTTGACACTAAGCCTACTTAACATGCACATCACGATTACAATAATGAACAGGCAAGTTCATTTTGAAAACACACATATTATTCTTTTTCTTCAACTTTGAGAGCCTAGAATTCTTGTTTTCTTTTCTTTTCAAATTTCTAGATTGACATATTTTTAACTCTAAAATGTTTCGTATAGTTCTGTTCCCTTCTGCATCATCAATGCATCTTCTAAATCTACGATCAACTCATCTAGAAATTGTTTAAATTGCCATATATCCAAAATCTTTGCAAGGCATTAAAAGCTATAGTTCCTATCAAAATGTGAAAAGGGTAGATTTAAACTGCTGTGAAAGTAATAAGAGATTATACAGCTTGACCATTTGGTTCATGGAGGTTCATTTCCCCACTGCCAAAACCAATGCAGGGATGTCACATAACCAGAGCAGAAGAATGTCATCAAACTCAGAACTGCACAACATGTTTTGCAGTTTTCAGATATGCAATGGTGAACTCTAGGAAGTTGTTTAATGTAGTAAACAAGATTACTCCAATTAGATTTCAGGTTCAAATTCTAAATGCCTCAGTGAGGTAGAACTTGTGAACTTTCATGGTTCAATGTGGTTATAGATTTGAGTTTCTGTTTAAGGAAATTTATTGCATTCAACAAAGGAATGGAAAATAAGTTGAAATTTAGTGGTGCAAGGAAATGCAATCCTCTCTGCCCCCCTTCCATAATTTAAACGACAAAACATAGGGCCTTAGAACATCCACACAAGATAGCCGACTTACAAAGTTTGAAATCTTAAAATAAAGTGTTAGCAAAAACCTAGGTAGCCATCAACTAGGATAACTAAGTGAATGCTAATTACAAGAGTATGGTAAAACAATCAAACATTACCTGCCTTGAGGCAGGAATAAACAAAATGATGAGAGATTCTTTATCTTTATTGAAATAATTTTGAGAAAATAGATATGGGCGCTGTAAGATAAGCTTCTTTGCGTATGGGAAAAGCTATAATCCTAGTAAATGCTAAAAGCTCCAAATCTTTCCAATACAAAAAAAAAGAGAGTTATTGTCCATCTATTTATTTCATTTCACACCCTAAATGCTATCCAATATCCCAACCCTGTAGTTTTTAGCCCTTGACCGCACCAGAACAAAATCATAATGCAGGAAAACATTATGCTATACTGCACTAAAAATACTAAGAAGATCTTATTACAGTCAAAAGCAAGCTGCATATAACATCTAGAAGACAAACCCGATCGCATGGCTTTCCGAGAAGACCTACGAGAGGGTGCTCCAATTTGCAACTTTTCAAAAGGAGGAGGGCCACCATTATCAGTTTCCTGTGATAACCTTAATGATGAACGTGAAAAACCAGAATATTTTTGGTTCATTTGCCATTCTTCATGAAGTGATGGGACCATGCCTCCTATTACAGTTATAACTTTAGGATTCAAACATACAATACAGTTATGTACTGGAGCTTTGTTATCCAAACGAACCTGCCAAAAGCATTGATTAAATTAAAAATTAGAAATGATAAAAAAAATAAAATATAAGTGGTAGATTACCTTAGAACCAGGAGCTATATCATCTGGGATTGAAGGAATATGAGAATATTCGATTGCAGTTATCTCGTTGTGCCCATCAGTGAGACCGAGTTTTAACAGTCGCCGTTTGCTTGAATTCGAAAACCCTTCTATGCTACTAACAGAAATATCTCTCACTGCAGATATCTGTTTTTTATTTTATTTTATTTGTATATATATTTAAAAAAAGAGAGAGGAGAAGCAAATTAAGAAAATAATTTGAAATTCGAGAAAAAAAAGCGAGGAAATAAATAAATAACCTGGAGGATATTGGGGCCTTGAAGATAGGAGGTTTTATTGAGGAGGTCTGGGTCGGGTAAGGACTTGACTCCAATGGATCTAAGATCCATGTTGAGGAGCTCGGATTCAACGGCGTTTGCGACAGTGCAAGGGTCGCCATCATCAGATAAAGCAGAGTGAATTATGATTAAGGCGTTTAATTGATCTATTCCGCCAAGAAACCAGCCCCTGGTCCTTAGGATTTCTAGCACTGCCTCTGCCGCTTTGCTCGAGCTCTCTTCCACTCCATCCATTGCTACCGCCTTCGCACCTGTACATTCAACTAGTGAAATATTCTGTCTTGGCTTTGCTGCAATCCTTGCCGCCCAGGTTCTTTGCCTTCTTTCTTCTTTAGTTCATGATTTCGGGATATTATACATCGGGCCTTGGGCCAACCAGATTATGTTTGGGCAATGATTCATGGTCTTTGGGCCTTTACTAATGCTAGTTCGGTAGGATATAGCTTATTTTGAAGTCCAATATCCAAAATTCAACAGCATCAACACCCACACAAGAAAAAGAAAAGACTGTATTTTTTTAAACTTTTCAAGAAATAAAATTATAAACATTAGATCATCCTTACAATGTGTATATTTTGACCAAACGTAAGGGGAAGGAAAGTAGTGGGAATGAAATTAAGTCACTTTCGTTTGTTTGGGTGTTAAAGTTAGGAATAGAAAGGAAAGGAAGGGAAAAAAAAAAAAGAAAAAGAAAAGGAAAATGGAGTTCGCTTATAATATCACCGGAAAAATTGTTTTTCTTTCCTTTTCATCCGCACATGCAAACAAATAAAACTATATTTCCCGAAAAAAGGAAAAGGAAAATGGAGTTCGCTTATGATATCACCGGAAAAATTGTTTTTCTTTGCACATGCAAACAAATAAAACTATATTTCCCTTTATCCAAATATGAGAAACTTCATTTCTCTTTATTAGAAATTAAACATAAAAAATTGAAGTATGAGAAATTGACATTAAAAATTATAAATGAACATGAAATTAATATTATATATAACCATAATAAAGTAAGTAATTCTAAATTTTATAAGAGTCACGGTTTGATTTAAAACTCCTATACATACACATACATGAAAATTATATATGAAAATATATTTTTAAATATTGATGATGTTAAAAATATATCTAAAACTAAGAAAATTGAAGAATTAGCATTGAAAAATGTTAGATTAGATTGTCTAAAAATAAGTAGTGAACTGAGAAATGAATAAAAGATGATAAAACAATTTAACAAGAAGTAAATATTTTAGATCATCTCCGATCGAAGAGCCAAATAAAGAGTTAAATTTAAAAATGTGTATTTTTAACTTTTATTTCCTTTTTTTTTTTACAACTACAACACAGTAGGTAAAATTATAGTCAAAATGGATATCCAATATGTGAAAAGCTACATGTTTCTATAGAAATAGCTAAAATAAAGAAAAACAATTTATTTATTTATATTGTTATTTTTAATAAAATTGAGAGGAAGTAATAATGGTAGCTAATATTGATAAAAATATAGAGTGACATATTTAAAATTTATTTTTGATTATCTATTTTAATTTGAGGATAATTATATTTTTGTCTTGTTGAAAATGCAATTAAATCAGAATATCAATCTTTTTTTAGTTCAAAAAAATAGTCAAATTATAATAATAAGAAGTAAATACTTTAAAACATTTCTAACTGGAGAGCCAAATGAAGAGTTAAATTTAAAATTATGTACTTTTAACTTTTTTTTTTTACAACTACAACACAATAGGTAAAAGGATAGTCAAAATGGATATTTAATATGTGAAAAACTATTTCTACATGTTTCTATAGAAATAGCTAAAATAAAGGAAAACAATTTATTTATTTATGTTGTTATCTTTGACAAAATTGAGAGGAAATAATAATGGTAACTGATATTGATAAAAATATAGAGTGATATATTTAAAATTTAAAATTTATTTTCTATTTTAATTTAAGGTCAATTATATTTTATCTTGTTGAAAATGCAATTAAACTAGTATATCAATCCTTGTTTAGTTCCAAAAAATGGTTAAATTGTAATGTTAGAACAAGTAGGAAGTATTGCTTATTAATTCACATGTATGGAAATTACAAAATTGATGGACATTGAATGTGAACTTCTTTTACACTTTCTTATAAGGTTTTAACTTGATTTTTTTTTTAATGTAGATGGATTCAAATTTTCCAAGATTTTTCACCAACTTTCTTATGAGTGAGTCAGAAGATATTTTCTCTCAACCAAGTAATTCTAATCAATTAATTGATGACTTAACATCCTTGAATTTAAATGTTTATATAATAAAAAAATCACAAAGAAGTAAAAACTTCTCATTAGAGGAAGATTGTTTACTTGTCTTTATATGGTTAAATACAAGCAAAGATCCAATTACAAAAAGTTGAACAACAAACAAAACAGTTATGAGAGCGAGTACATGCTTACTTCGTAGAGAATTGAGAAAATTTGAATAATCGTTCCCAAGTAAGCATTTGAAGTAGATGGTAAGAAATAAATAGAGAAGTCGATAAATTTGTTGGATTTATTACTCAAGTTGAAAATCATCAGCAAAGTGAAATGATCGAAGAATCAAGGGTAATTTTAATATTCATTTTCATGTTAAATTGTTTAACATATATTTAAAAATTATTTAATTTCTCTAATTTTTTACTTACCAAAATAATGATGCTAGACAAATATATGCTTCTTGCGTTGACAAACGATTTCAACTAGAACATTGTTGGGTTATCTTAAGAAAAGGACCTAAATGACAATTTGAGCATGCAAGTTAACACCAAAGGTCAAACGAGAAACAAAAAAATCTTGTCAATACAAGTTCGACTTTATCAGCTCCATCGACCTTTGATTCTATTAGTTTAGGACAAGACAGTGAATCGTCGATTTATCAAGATAGACTAATTGATCAGAAGGCTGTAAAGGAACGACTTAAATATAAACAAGAAAAAGATAAAGTTGGGGAGACAACTATAACAAATCTCTGACAACAATTCATGGATACTCTAGTTGAAATTGAGGATCAAAAGAAACAAGGTAAAAAAATTATGTTAGAGCAACAAGCTATGATGAATCAACAAAGTCAAGAAAAACAAGAATTGGATAGGATTGAGAAAGAAGAACAAATTATGAAAATGGATTTTCTAATTTAGATCCAATTTAAACTGGACTTTAAACTTTTTTTTTTGTTATGTTTAAATCAAGCTCGAATTCCATCACTCACTCTTAATAATCCTATGTAGAATCGTGTCAATCTAGCCTAAATTCACTCATAACAATATGAAGAAATGAACCCCAAAACCAAAAAGTTCTTAAAGAAATTTACTCACAAAGGTTAAAAGAAAATATATTTTTAATAAAATTAAATGCTATCATCTCAAAGATGACTCCACTAGTAAGATAATAATTTACTAGATAGTTGAGAAAGTTGATTAAAAGGGTATTGCTTAAGACATTTTGGAACCCACAGATCCAAATTCACATATACAATGAAAAACAATATTTTAAAAATAAAGTCATGCATCAACCTTTTCCAATATATTTAATTTTTTGAAGGACATGACCGATATAAGGATCTTACCATATGTGGGTTAATTCTTAGATAACAAATGCAATCAATACTTATTATATAAACACCCAAAATAATCACATAAAAGAAAGCAACAAAAAAACTCTTTTTTTTTTATTTTTTAATATAACAATAATCCTATCATTTATTTAATAAAATAAAAAAATAGAATATATTTATTGATTAGTACTTAAAAGTGTATAGATTATCTTTATTAATTAATACTTAAAAGTGTATGTTTATCAAGGTTTTATATTATCATTTTGCACTTGAAGTATTAATAACTCCTTAACTAAAACATGTTTTATAATAACATATCTAATAATATAAGATCAAAGTTATCTTCTTGCTTTCTCTCTACATCTTTGTAATGTTCAAGTTTTCTTTTATGCTATAGTAATCTCTTGTTTATGCTCTTTCATTTCCTTTCCTATACTTAGTTAGCTTATATTATGTTTATGTTCTTATATTGTTTATTTGTGTTTTTCTCCTTCTTAATGTTTAGCTAAGTTAATTATGTCAAGGTGAAAAGGTTTCTCTAATGGTGTTAGAATAGGTATAATATAAACTCAACATGAGCTTTAAATGTTTATATCCAAGAAAGATTGTTATTAACATGTTTTATCTTTTTATCTTACTAATTCTTAATACCTTGCTTATTAAATGTTTAATTTAGATTTGTGTTGTATAATATTTGGTACATCAAATGCTTGATCTTTCATAGTTTTCGGCCGAAATCGTTATTATGATAGAAACTTGATTTGTTGTTAACATAAACTAGCAACATGAATGCTTGATGATATTTATAAGTATGGTATTACTTATATAAGATAATTAATATGATCATGTTAGTAATTTATAATGAGCTAATAACGAGAAATCATCCGATTAGAACCTCCTTTGTGTGTGGTTTCTAGTTGAGTAATAAAAAGAGTTTATATTATATTTATTTGAAATACCATTAGTGAATCCTATAACCTTGACATATGTTTTGTTTTTGTTTTATCCTTACATCAATATCACATCCCAAAACTTTCTTCAACTCCTTTTCTGTTATTATTCTCTTTAAATCTTTTTCTTTATTTGTAATTTATATAATTCACCTCCCTGTGGTTCGACCCCGGTCTTATCGGGTTATTTATTACTTCGATACTCTTGTACTTAGTAGAAGACATCAAACTCTTTGATTGTGTCAAGTTTTTGGCGTCATTGCTGGGAAGTGTCTTCTCCCAAGTGCAGGAGTGTCAAAGTAATAAATAACTCGGTAAAACAGGGGTTGAACCACATGAAGGTTAGTTGTATAAATTATCGATAACAATAATACAACAACAACAATAACAACAACAATAGTAACAACAATAGTAGTAGTAGTAGTAGTAGTAGTAGTAGTAATAGTAGTAGTAAAA